GTTACAGTAGAGCACTGAATTCATCTAGATTACAAGCCCTGGCCATTATGGGAGATGTGGTCCAAAAAAGTAAGTCCCCTATGCTCAGTATTAAGAGGCTGTCTGGAGAGAGAGAGAGTAAGTAAGTAAGTAAAGAGCTACAAAGCCATTCAAAGTGTTATGAACTCTTTATGTAATAAGATACTTTTTGGCATTCATTGTGAGTAAGTCCCCTATGCTCAGTATTAAGAGGCTGTCTGGAGAGAGAGAGAGAGAGAGAGTAAGTAAGTAAGTAAAGAGCTACAAAGCCATTCAAAGTGTTATGAACTCTTCATGTAATAAGATACTTTTCGGCATTCATTGTGGGCATAGTTGATCCACAACGAACTTTCAAATGTTTTATAGAACTATCTGACAGAGGGGCATGCAGAGGTTACTTCAAAATATCTACAGGACTTGCCGTACTTCTGGAATATTTGGGAACATTCTAAATATGTCATAACTCTAGCTAGTTTAGTGATAAGGAAGAAACTTTCTACTCTTTTCCATTTTATAAGGGTGGTATTTCTAAAAATACAATCATCTTCACCCATCCATCCAAAGAGCTACATTATTATCACACCACACATTATTGGCTGATGAAATTTTATCTCTGTATTACCTTCTAGGACAACTGCAGCGAGCACTCCCTGGTGGCAATGTGGAATGGTTTGAAGGCATCCAAATATAGTTTACATATAACATGCCAAGCACCACAACTGTGTCACCACAATTAAGGGCTTTCAGTATTTACTATAATCCTGGTGCAATTTCTCTGCAACACGTGCTCCTTCATTTAACGCACCACAATGCCTATAATTCCTTATTTCTGCTGTAGCCAAAACATGATCCCTACTTCAATTTTGCTTTCTGAACAACCGTTGACTAGAGCTTACCTTTCTAGAAAGGGAACAATTAAAGGAGACAGAGAGAACAAGAATGAAGGGGTGGGGGAGAGAAGAAGAGCATGGATCACTTAGATTTGGAAAGCACAAATTTGAGACTACTGTAATGTGATGTTGAAGTGTTACAATCTGTTTACACACTTTGAAAAAAGAACTCAGCTACAGCTGAGTCAAGATTACATACTTACAGTAATTTCAAATGTATCCCTCACATAAAATCTCTATGAACTGTAACTCAAAGAGGTCATTCATATGCTGCTAGTTTTGTGGCGTTTCTTTTTTCCCCCCTACAACAACCTTCAGAAACTTGCAAAATGTTTACCCTGAATAGAAAAGCAGTCACTGAAACACTTCTACTGTTATTCCCTTGTGCCATGATCCTAAATCTGACTACACCTTTACTCAATAAGCAATAATCAATGATAAAAATCTCATGGAGATCAAAGGTAATACAGTACTTTTTAGGGAAGTATGCTTAAATGTACAACGCAATAATCAATGATAAAAATCTCATGGAGTTCAAAGGTAATACTTTTTAGGGAAGTATGCTTAAATACTTTAGTTCAGCATATGAACTAAATGCTTTAGTTCAGCATATGATCATCTAGTGCCTTCCAGATGTTTTGGATTACAAAACCTATCATCCCCATCTATTAATCATGTTTGATGTGGCTAATGGGAATTGTAGCCCTGAACATGTCCTGAGTCATCAGATTTCCTAAATTTCCTAGTTCACCAAAACAAGTAGGAGCACTTCTCAGCATCTGAAGAAGGATTCTTCAAGATGATAATCAGAAGAGATGCAAACTGTTCCTTTCTTCAGTTCAGCAAATGCCATGCTCACCCCTCCCTCTACTGTAATGCAATATTGGCAACTGTATGGATACTTGCACATCGCCCAGTGCTTATCAGAAAGGCCAACCTTTTTTCAAATGCTTTTTATTCACAGATTTTAAACATTATGGGTTTCCACGTAGTCCTTGTTCTTTAACCTTGTAGCACGCAGACAAAAAAATTTCCACTACCAATTCAGCCACCCAGAATTTCAAAGAAAAAGAGTGTAATCAATTTCTGTGGTTTTTTTAATGGATGTCTTTACTACAAAAGCATGAAATAATTATAATATCAGCAGCTGTATGAACTTGGAAATGAAGCTTTTATGGCATTCCCATGGGGTCACGAAGAGCCGGACAAAACTAAACAACAACAACATCACTTCCATAGGAGTCAGACACAACTAAACAACAACAACAACATCACTTCCATAGGCTACCCAACACAGTTAGAAATCTTAACATTACAAACCATTAGTTCTCATAGAACCACTTACCCAAAACACAAAAAAATTGGGGAGGTGTCTTGCGAACCTGCTCCCACCAATTACTATCATGCACATTTTATGAAGGAGATAAATCTGCAACTTTTAGTTCAGAATACGATAACTAATGTTAGCAGATTTTTGAATCCAAAATGCTTTGATTTCTGCATTTATGATAGGAGAGAGATTAAAAACAGCAATAAAACTTACATATGCAGATCCACCCTAAGCAATTGCATTCAGAAGCAAATCCTACTGAATTCAACAGGCTTTACCTATAAACATTCGGGTGTAGGATTTTTGTTTAACCATGATCAGTCCATTCTGGAACTGGATGTAAGCAGCCAGCAAGGCTGGTTTCTGCAAACATTTTGTAAGACCAGTCTAACCATTTTAGAAACACATTACAAGCTAGATCATCCCAGAAACATCTAAAACAATTACCCAGAGGGAGGAATCATATTCCATAATTGATAGATGCTACACATTTTTTAACCACAGAAAAGCTCTCACCCCCCCCACACCAACTTTCAGGATGTTTACACTTAAAAATATTTCTCAAAGATGCCAACTGAAGCAGATATAGGAAGCCCACTCCTACTCCTTTTGACAATGCCCACAACTAAAATGACAGCAACCATGCAAATGCCAATCAAAAGAAAAATTAAAATCACATTGCAACAATAGAGAAAGGAAAAATTATCTCCATATGGTTGGATTTCAGCTTGGCTTAAATTATTTACTATATATTAGTTTTGATACCTGTTGTATACATGAAGAAGACTAGTTGGGGTATCACAAATTCAAACAACCTCCTACATAAAGGAACTTAGGGGTGACTTCAAATTATACAAGTACAAAATATATGAAAAACAAAAAAAGAAAGACAACATGCAAGGGGGAAGGGAGCGCAATGCAAACTGTAAGATGTAATTTTAAATTATTTTTTACTCCCCCCCCCCAAATTTGCAAATATAGGAAGGCAACAGGGAAGAGGTGGCGATACGTATTGTTCAGACCTGCAACAACCTCACACTTCTCGAGGGATGCAAGCACTTTCAGCAACAGGAGTCAGCAGGGATTTGAGCTATTTTGTACTTGTCCACAGAGGAAAGAGAGAGAAAGGGTAGTTTCTACCATACATAGATCAGAAATACATTCAGTGCTGAACCATTCAGTGCTGAACCAACAACCTTATACGTACACACATACAGAAGAAGAACTCAATGGGACTACTTCAGGGTAAACAGACACACTCATATCTTAAAATCCACACAAAACTCCACTCTGCCTCAGTGGGGCAGCCAAGGGGGAAAAATTGAACAATGAAAAAAAAAGCCCATACATCTTCCACTGCACGCTAGGAAAACACCCTGGTTACATCAGGGATAAATCACCAGTGGTTTTCTTTCTTAAAAAGTTCTATTATTCAACTACAAAGTAAACCCCTCCAAAGGGGAAGACATAATTTTATTCCAACAATTCATGCCACAAAGAAAGAAAGCCTTAATACACAGATGGAGGTGGTGGGATCCAATTAATCTTTCTTCATTATTTTCTTGCCTTTAGGAGAGGAAACCATATTATGCAGTTTCCCACCATAATGCAAATATTCAATTCTGATCCATTAAACTGAATGCAAAGATCCACTCAGTTCTGCTTTGTTTTTCAAACACGCCCAAGATCTCAAGTCAGAATCACCATCATATCATGTTCTCCTCCAGTCCTCCGTAGGAGTTGAAAAAGCTGAAGCAGCCCTCAGAAGTCTGAATACGTTTATCAACTTTTTTTTTCAGGAGTGCGAAAAACAGGCCCTGCCAACCAAACTCAGCAACGTGGGATACACACTTTTTTTAAAAAAAGTGCTATTTTTACAACACAGTTCTAAAGCTTTGCCATGAAACAACGCGACTGCCATGCCTCCGGTAATCGCCATTTCCGGAGAAGCATCGCCTATTTAAATAAATAATGAAAAAAGAGGCACCACCTAAACGCAACATCACACACACACACACACACACAAGTAGCGCATGAGTTGTCAGATGCTGCTTAAGAAAGGCACAGCCCCCTTGGAATACAGTGGCTCCTCCGAGTCAAGAAAGACAAATCGCACCTCATATACTGTACAACATAATGGATTTCCCTCTACTCGTGTCCACACTCCGCTACATCAGATTGCCCCTTCCTTGCCTGAAAGTTTTGATCCCTGCGAATGACCTCAGCCAAAACTGCTGCACAGCAGATGTGGAAACAAGAGAGTCTCATCCTTTTTTCGAACTAAGCCCCCCTCCCATTTTTAGCCAGGTCCCCCGTCGCCGAGCCCCCTCCCCAATTCGGAGGGGCTACCCTTCTGGAAACGAGAACCCCCCCAATTCCTCAGCCCACCCTCAAACCCGCGGGGATCGGACTGTGTTGTGAGCTGCCAGGAATAGCGGAGTTGCGAAAAAGAGTGTTGGGGGGAATGAGAATTCCAGCACACTGGAAAAAGCCACGCGAAGTTTCTCCGGGCGATTCGAGACGCGCACAGAGGTTGCCCTGTCGCTGGGAGGTGGGGGGGGGGTTGCGTGCGTTTCTTTCCATCCGTTGATCCAAAGGATCAGAGAAATCGGGGTTTTGCTAAACCGCTTACGGGGGTGCCGGTGGTGGAAGAGGGCTTAGAGGGGGAAATGACATTTCTGGGCACATTCCACAGACACACACACACCCGCCGGCGAAAACCACCACCCTAAAACAAATCCACAAAGTTAAACCCATCTTACCGTCTCCCCAGAGACTGAGGCCGTCAAAATGAAAGTGAGCAGGACCCACACGTTCCACATTATTCCCGGCTGGCGGCTCTTCGCAGGCGGGCGCGCACGACCAAAAAGACACGAGAGTTTGAAAAGATGTGTTAAGAAATGCTCAAGTTGGCACAAAGTACAAAGGGACGCTGATGCATTTTTGAAAAGGGAAAATGGGAGATTTCCTCCCCTCTCCCCCCCCTTGCCCCCTTTTTTTTTTTTTCCCTCCGCTCCTCCGGGGCTCTCCCAGGCGCCGGCGCCGCAGCAGCTCCTCGTCTCCGCTTGTTGGCGCGCCTCGGGGCGGAGTTGGCGGCTGCCTCGAGGGAGCAAAGAAGGGGGCGGTGGGCGGCGGTGGGTGCCCCAGTCGCCCCTCCGCGCGTCCTCGCACCCGCCCGCTCGTCCGGCTTGGCTTCCTTCCCTGCGCCTCGCACCGGTCGCCCTCGCCTCGCTGGGCTCCGAAGCCCGTCCCTCCGCGGCTCAGGAGGTGCCTCGTCCCCTCACGCCAGCCCGCCGCCGCTGCCAAAGAAAGTTTGGGCAGGCGGGAGGAAGGCGCGGACTTTTCCGCGAGGAAAAAAAAGAGGGCGGGAGGCACAGAAGGGCGGGAGGGGGGAGAGAGAAAAAGGACCGCCACCAAAAATTGGACGGGGGGGAAAAAAGCCCACCCAAACGCCTCGCTACAGCCTCTCCCGGGGCTGTCCCACGCCTGGCGGCTCGCTTCCCCTCCGCTTTCCTTCGGCGGTGCCGGGCGAGGAGCGACTCCTTAAATCGCGCAGAATTCCTGCAGCATTACCCACACAGATTGGCAGCTCGTCCAGCCAGTGGGAAGCGGGGAGGGAAGGAGGGAGAGGGGGCTCGCCGTGGCAGCCCGGGCCCTCCTTGGCCTCTTGCAAAGCCAAACTAATCCCTTCCCCGCCGCCGCCGCCGCTCACGTTTCTCGCCCGCCCTCGCCAATGCCTTCTCTTTTTTTCCCTGCCTCTGCCTCCGGGAGAGACGCAACTCCTCACAGTTGTCCTCCCGGAGGTCTTTTATGTTTTTTTGCTTTTGTTCCGAGGACTTGCTGGCGAGGAGGGATGCCCGACGACGACGTGGTGGTGGTGGTGGTGGTTGCTACGTGTCTGTTGCCTTGAAAAAGCTCTAACCGAAGGCATGCCGCTGCCTGAGGCGGAACCGCAAACGGAGCGCGCTCGCAATCCAAGTGCGTAGTCGCCACGGCCGACGGCGTAATTTAGCCCTATCAAGGATCCCACAGACACTCTTCTTTCCTCCCTTGTTGGCTCTAGGCAAGTATAGTAAACGATTATTAACAATTGTCTGACACACACACACACCCGTGGACATCTCCAAATCAACTGCCTGTGGCAGCCGCTTCTTTCTCTTGCTTTCCGCCCAATAGTAGGGCCGGCTGCTTCTCCCTTGTCACCCCTGGCGTTGCTTAATGGTGTGATGTGGGCGGGAGAAATGAGCCAGAAGGACAGAGGTGATGTATCAAGATTAGCAAAGTTGCCATTCCTTATGATTAATGAACTACCGAATCAATGCAATTTCACCTAGGTTAAAATCCCATTAATGCCACCCTTGGCTCATTTTTCTTCTTCTTTTCTCCCTCTACAGTCTAGTACTCAGATGCACTCCCATGGAAATCATAGTATAGTCGTCATGTGCTCTCAAGTCACTTCCAACTGATGGCAACCCTTTTTAGAGTTTTCCAGGTAGAGAATACTCAGGAGTGATTTACCATTCCCTCCTTTCTGGGGACGTCCTGGACTTTGCAGCTTGCCCAGGGTTACACAGGTCGGCTCTTCTCCCAGGAGGCATGGTGAGGAATCAAACTCCTAACCTCTGGTTCTGCAGTCAGATATCTAAACCACTGAGCTATCCATCGAGCCCCTATGGAAATACAGCTCCCAATTTAGATATTTGGGGATATCAACTGCACAAGTACATTCATTCAATTTATTTCAAGCCTATATTGTTCATATTAATTTTTTGTGCATCAGTGTACTGTCATCACATAAGACTTTTTAAAAAAAATATTGATGTTATGTGACAAAATAAGAAAGAGCTGACAGAAACCTAGTGGACAACATATGATACTACTTAGTTTATAGCCAGAGGGAAAATAGGGCTGATCTTTGCAATCAACGTGATGCCCTTAACAGACAAGTCCACCAAATCCCTATGATATACTAGTAAAATGTAATTACTGTATATCATTGGGCCCAACTGGGGCTCTGGAGGAACCAATTTCAAGATACAACCAATCCATGTACTTTAAACTGGACAATCAGAAGTTTCTTTTCAAAAAGTTTCATTTTCCAGCTGTTTCAAAGATCTTTTGGGAGAAGCAAACTTCAAAATATTTATAGGATAACTACTTTATCCAAAGTCAGAACACGAGCTTGTTGTTGACATTTGTCTAAAACACTCTATAGAAAAGTCCAGCAAATTTGTCTTATCTGCCAAAAGCTAATTTTCAGTGGCCCCAGTTAAAGCTCTGCCAGAACCAGTTTTCAAATCTAACCTTGCCCAGGGTTAGATCTGTGGCTACTACACACTTCAACTGGGACATCACTGATATTCATGTAGAGGTTTGTGCTTCTTATGATTTTGGAATAAGGATACAGTATTTTTGAAAGTATTTGAAATCTGAGCATCCTGATTTTGGGAATCAGTTTCACTGGAGAAACACTTGTTTTATTTGATATCTCTCTCTCACACACACACCGAATTTCAGACAAATCTGACATATTCATAGTTACACATTAAGCACTAGATACGGGGAACCTTTGGCCTTTGAAATATTTTGGCTTACACCTCTGAAAAGCACGGCCAATGGTAAGGCCTTGTAACAGTTCTAAGACAAAACGACCAGACAGTCAAAGATTCCCCACCCAACTTCATCATTCTACCACGAACTTCCCCAACATGGTGTCCTGCTGATGTTTTAGATACAGTTCCCATCAGTTCTCAGCTAATAGGATGTGTGATGAACGATTGTGGGACATGTAGACTAATTCCTCTGAAAGCCAGTAGACTGAGGAAGGGCTTATTTTTTTATTTATTACCTTTAGATTTATTGCCTTTCCTCAATTGAGGTCAACATAGTATACATGGCTCTCCTCCTCCATAGTTTGCACTCACAATGAAGTGAGAATATATTGAGCTAAGTCATTATATGACTGGTTCAGTCTGACCCAACATGTTTGCCTAGCTCACTGAGGACTATTGGCCCCATTCCCCATGAGTTCCAGTCCACCATTCCAATGATGCCACCACACTAGCTCTCCTGTAGATATGGACATATGGTTAGGAAACCAGATACTGTATCTCCTCTCATATTAACCACATGAATCACTCCTGAGGCCATTTTCCAGCTGTCCCCATTCCAGAGTGGAGATAGGTGATGAGTGTGACATTGCTTTTGTATCTCTGGCCTTTCCATTTTTGACTGATTGTGCCTGGTATCAAATCTTCTTCCTTTTGCAACGTGAATAAAACAATACTGCTTTTTAATGCACCCAGAACTTTGAGATATTTTAAATATAGATTGAATGCTGCTAATAACATTGCTGATCTACTTTAGTGTTTTGTAATAGGTGCATGGCTTTTGTCAGTATGGGAGTCCTTTGGAAGTGGAGGGTGAGAGATCAAATAAATTAAAACAAATACTGGCAGAAGGCATTGACAGACATATCACAATCAGTGTCCCACTGGAGAAAGAGAGCAGAAGGGCAATTATGTAAGTGTCTCTCCTGCTCTGGCAGGGTCCCCATCCTTGCCCTGGTTGTAACTGGTTGTGCAATGGTGAGCTTGCTCAAGCAGTTTTTAAAATTTATTTGCTAAATAAATAACACTGTTACTTAATGCTCAAGCCCATGTCCTGTTCTGCAAAAACAGATTTCACCAACATGCCACCATCCAGATGAGCTGGACTACAACTCCCATAACCTTTGGAAAGCCTCCCTGAAGATTGTAGGATTTGTAGTCCAGTCCATTGGAAGGGCTCCAGAGTAGAAAAAGCTACTTAAGAGGATCAACCAACAGCCCCTCTGCCAATGATGGTAGTACTATTGTTTACTCTTCTGTGAAATGAACTGAAACAGAATTTTATAGTACAGTTACTGTGTACAGTACTTGGTTATTCCATCTCTTTATGGCTCTCCTTTGTAGCTTTCTCATCTTACAGAATGTCTTTGCATTTATTTAGTAAACTGAGTCCCAAACAGCTTTGCTCATTTTTCTCTATCTTGCCTCCACTGGTTCAACCAGAAATAGGCTATTCACATTTTTCATTTGTTCTCTTGAAAAGTGCACACTTCCTCTTTCCCATGGTTCTATAGAAGAAGAATAGGAAAATGTGGTGGTGGTGGTGATTGTTGCGTGCTATCAAGTCACCCTATGAATGAGTGAACTTCAAAATGTCCTGCCCTGCTCAGCTGTTGCAAACTGTGACTTTGACAGACTTGCGGTATGACCAGGATGCACCAGGTGGCACTAACCAAAAGAACTTCCCTGATAGATGAAGACGCCAAGCAATAAAGCAGTGTTGATATCAGAATAGTATTATTTACAGGATATATAAATACATGTACAGCTTAGTCCTTGTTTCCAGTCCCGGTCATACACAGCAGTTTCCACAGAGTTCAATGCATAAATCAGAGTCAAAGTCCTTGTAAATTAGTTCAGCAGTCAAATACCATATGTTCAGTCCAGTAGCCAGAGTTCTTCCAATATACAGCATGAAGACACAGCTTCTTCCAGGATACTCCAGCACAGCAACACGACGACAGCAATCCACTACAACACCAACACGACACCAACCCAACAACCCACAGAGTATACTCCAGCACAGCAACACAACGACAGCAAGCCATCATGACACCAACCAACAGAGTGTGTGTTCTAGGTCGGCTAGCTTTATCCCAGGATTAGCCAATCCAGGGATTGCTCTCTCAGCTGTTACAATTTACTCAGCTGGATTAATTCTAGGCTTACTTCTTTCTATAACACTGATTCTGATACTTATTGCTTTAGTACAAAACTGCATTTAACAATTCCTCCAAGTTTAGCTCAAACCTGTCAATTTCCTC